GTACATATGTAAGGTGGGGCCACAAAAGGAGATACATTTTTTTCTACATACGAAATATACGAGAAAAAGAAGAGAAAAGCAATGATTAGTCATATGTATATGAAAGTACCCTAACAAAAAAAATACTATAGTAAACTATAGTTAACTATAGTTTACTGTAGTTAACAATAGTAAATCAAAGTTCCAAAGTTTTCACTACAGTAAATCAAAGTTCCAAAGATTTCCAAAAATTAGATACATTGAAATAAATATTGCTTATTTATCGGCCCAAGCGCCATCCTTTACATTAAAATTCATATCTTGTACATTATTCTTTTAGGGGAGGGGTCGAGTTTTTAAAATGTTCTCTAAAGCTTTTATGAATCTTAAACCTGAAATATCATAAAATGTAAAGAATGGGAATCAAAAACATAATTCCACGGGATTTATCGTACTTAATCAAAGTTCCAAAGTTTTCACTATAGTAAATCAAAGTTCCAAAGTTTTCACTATAGTAAATCAAAGTTCCAAAGTTTTTACTATAGTAAATCAAAGTTCCAAAGTTTTTACTATAGTATATCGAAATTTCAAAGATTTCACTATAGTAAATCAAAGTTCCAAAGTTTTTACTATAGTAAATCAAAGTTCCAAAGTTTTCACTGTAGTTAATCAAAGTTCCAAAGTTTTTACTATAGTATATCAAAGTTCCAAAGTTTTTACTTTGGTACTATAGTTAACTATAGTAAACTATAGTTAACTATAGTTTACTATAGTATTTTTTTTTATCAGGGTATCCTTAGAAAGTTTAGACTCAAGTTTGTACATATCATAACCCTCAGGGGGTAGTGTGGGGTCACGATAGGCGATCAAATTTGCACGGAAAAGATGTTTAAAACTGTTCTTCTCAAGAACAGCAAAACGATGATTAGTCAAATCTAATCGAAAGCTTTCTCAGAACGTGTACAATCATTTCTGTTAAAATTACCACAGGGGTTTGGGTGAAGTCACGATAGAAGATCAAAGTTGTACATACGAATATGTAGTGAAAATATTTTTTGATGAAGAACAGCAGAGCCAAAGGGACTCATGTGAGATTTATGATCCATTGACCTTTTGTTTGTTTGTTTTTAGCTCTACTGGTCAGAGACCAGAAGAGCTTATGCGATAGTAAGGTGTCCGTCGTCCGTCCGTCTGTCTGTCTGTCTGTCTGTCTGTCCGTCTGTCTGTAAACAATTTTTCAAAACGCTACTCCTCCTACAGTTTTGGTCTGATTTCAATATAACTTGGCACACAAGTAGACTACACTAAGATACATAATTTAGTGCATCGGTTTTTGATTTCGATGAACGGTGTTGCCATGGTTACTAAAAATAGAAATTTCTGTGAAATTCCTTTAAAACACTACTCCTCCTACAGTTTTGGTCTGATTTCAATATAACTTGGCACACAAGTAGACTACACTAAGATGCATAATTTAGTGCATCGGTTTTTGATTTCGATGAACGGTGTTGCCATGGTTACTAAAAATAGAAATTTCTGTGAAATTCCTTTAAAACGCTACTCCTCCTACAGTTTTGGTCTGATTTCAATATAACTTGGCACACAGGTAGACTACACTAAGATACATAATTTAGTGCATCGGTTTTTGATTTCAATGAACGATGTTGTCATGGTTACTAAAATAGAAATTTCTGTGAAATTCCTTTAAAACGCTACTCCTCCTTCAGTTTTGGTCTGATATTAAAATAACTTGGCACACAAGCAGACTTCATTCAGATACATTATTCTATTATTGCTGCATGTTGCAAAGTTTCAAATCCAAGTGCTACTTTTCCTTTGTTATATGTACAGACCAGTAGAGCTACAGTCTCATCAGAGACTTCTGGTTTTCCTCTCAAATTATGGCAAAAAAAGAGGATCAAATATCTTTGATATACAGCATTTTCATATAGTATGGATTTAAGCTTCGTTTTTTCATGGGAAAAAAGAGAGAGAAAACATTTTACCATCTTCTTTTAAAGATCAATGGTACAGCATGTGTGGATTGTGGCGCTCTAGATTTAATAAACTCATGTACATTTAAAAAAAATAATATTGACATTTTCCGCTATACAGAGTGTCGAGTTCAAAATCAACATCAATATCATTTATTTTTCATCAATTAATTTCTTTCAACAATATTTGATGGACATTTGATAAGGTAATGTTCAGTATCCTCAGTATGAAATCCACATTTTTGACATGATTGAACATTTAATAAAAAAGGATTTTTTAAATGTTCATTGAGATTGCTAGCATTGTTTCAATGTAAGATATTTTCTTTTCTATTACCAAAGTTAAAGTGCCTATTTATTAGTTGCTCCTCAACTTTTAAGTTTTGCTTTAAAGATAGATATTGATGGAGAGTTAATGACATCCTCACTGAGACTGTTCCAAAGTTTTATAGTTGAGGGAATAAAAGTATTATAGTGAGACATTGTTTTACAAACTGGTATATGAAATATGCGGAGATAACGACCAGTATTCGAGCTTAAAAGTCTATTAAAAATTACAAAATAGGAGCCGAGCAAACACGGACCTTTAAGACATCAGAGGTAAGATCAGGTGCCATGGAGGAGTGAGAATCCCCTGACGACCGGTCACACCCGCCGTGTGCTCCTTGTCATGATCAGGAAATAACGGAAGAATCCGTCGACAATTCAGTGTGTAAATAATGGCTTAACAATAAATATGAAAAAAGTCAGTCAGCATTTGACTTAATGATAGATTATATTTTGCTGACAAGGTCATTGTATCAACCATAAAACTTACGAAATGATGACTTTAAACGAGACTGCTGATATTCTTGTTTCATCAACTTGTTTGTCAATAACTTTACTCGTATTAGAAATTGTTCATACGTAGAGCATGGCGTATCGAATCAACTGAGAGATATAAACCCCGTATTCAGGTGATAAGGGTATATTGCTGCATAAGTAAGGGGAGTTGACGATTGAAAAGTTAAAGTCATCACGTTTATCATAAAGCTTTGTTGTTAGATTACCATTAACGTCTTTTTCTAATAAAATATCCAGATATGAAACAGATGTGTCAGACTCTGTGGTATCTGTTATCTCAAGCTCACCGGGATATATCGTGTCGACATAAGAATGGAAATAACCATTGTTAATTGACAATACGTCGTCGATATATCTTAATGTCGAGTTGAAGGCCACAACAAGTGTTTTCTTCTTTTCACGTAAAGATTTGAACAAAATTTGCTTCATATGAATACAAAAATAGGTCTGCTTATAATGGGGCGCAATTTGTACCCATGGGAATTCCAATAGATTGTTGGAAGACTTGGTCTATATACAAATTTTTACATTTAGATCTTAGGTTGTATGCATGTTGAACTGGAAAAAAGGGTTGAATCAATTCATACAAATTATCAGATGCAGAACCATTAATCATTTTATACATCAATTGAAGTTTGTGTTTTTCTCTCCTTATATATAATGGTTCCCATCCAAGTTCACCATACAAACAAGTTCTGGAAGAATTAACTCTAAGCCCAGTAATAATTCTTACAGCTTTTATCTGAACTTTTTTTTTTTTTAGAAAATTCTGCATTAATTTGGGTACAATTATCCCCCACAATATCTGAATATTCTAATATTGGTCTTATGAAAGCAAAATTTTTATTAGTGAATGTCTATCTATACTATGTTTATATAACTCAGTATATTCAATCTTTTACATGCCTTTTCATATATATGATTATTTCAAGAATCATATGCTTGAAATTTAGTCCTAAATGAACATGAGTCTTTAATTGTTTAATATAATCACCTCCATATCCAAATTGAATGCCAGGATAACTTATGTGTATTCTTGTAAATTCAAAATTAACATTTTTTCACTATAAAATCTTCAACCCAAACATTGGACCAATTTCTTATTTATTTAAGTAAGGGATATTGTTGGATTAGTAATATCGTTGTCTATAATAGCAAACCAAAATGTATTATCAGCAAACAATCGAATATTACTTAATATATCTTTAGCTATACCATTTATGTATAACAAAAAAAAAAAAAAAAAAAGAAGAGACCTAGTACAGTCCCCTGAGGCACCCCAGCATCTATAGTTTTATATGCTGATGAAAAAACCTTCCAAATTCACTCTTTGTTGTCTGAGCTACTCAGATATGTTAAGAGAAATGTTAACTTAGTACCTTAGAAGAAAAAAGGTGATCTTAGAACCTTCTTAATATGTATAACGTTTAATATTTACATATTAAAAGTAATTGTGTACATGTAGAAAAAGAAATATAAATACCCATCATGCCCATATGATGTAAAGTCTTGTGCCGTTCTTAATATTCCGTTACATTTCATGCATTTGTCGAATCTTCTTAAGGACATACGCAATGTTGTTTGGACTTTATTGTCTTTTCCCCTGGAGTTGAAGAGTTCCAATACTTAAAGGAACTGTGTGCTGCATTTGAATGTCTATGTATGCTGTTGTACATTTCTTCTAAAACAAGTTTGGATAAATAAAACATCTAGAATATATGTTTAGTAATTTTTGTATATTTTTCTTTGAATTATACAAGAATTTTCATCAGTTGATATCTTTTCAAAACCCCTGGTTATGCATGCTGATTTTTTTTCTATGAACATCTGATGGCACTATAATCATAAATTAAGAATATCTTGAAAAATTATCAGTAGGTAAGGTACGTTGCGTATGTCCTTAAACTGACCTTCTTATAGCGTTCATTGTATCTTAATATTTCTTTTGAAAGTGATACACATGCACATGATACATTGTAATCTGTTAGATACTTACTGTAAGTTAGCGGATAATCAATTTCAAGATTTTGTGATGTGAATTTGAATTGTCAGTTAAAGTTAAAAAAATTAAGATTCTCTCAAAAGATTCAATCATATGCTTTATAGAAGATTTCGCTCTAATTTTTTTTATATTTTACTTTACTTCAGCAGATTGTTTAACTTGCAACAACCTAAGAACCTATAATGAGCTTGCAAGGATGCAGCACCCAGTGTAAAGTACGACAGTGTTCTCAATGTCAGGGGGATACAGAATTCTGCTGTAACACGTGTAGAGATTACCTGTGTCTACAGTGTAAAGAGAAACATGTTAATGACCTAGACACCATATGCCATGATGTGATAATATACCGTGAGAAATTTAAATACATTCCAAAACAAGAGACATGTGCGAAACATCCAGACAAAATCTATGAAATGTTCTGTCACTCATGTAAATTTCCCGTCTGTTTCCAATGTGAAAAACACAAAAAACACAATGTACTAGACATAAGAGCAGCATATAAAACAAACAGACAACAACATAAAGAAATAGTTCACAACATCAGAAGTGAGACTCTTTATAACAGTTTTTCTCTCCTGGCAGAAATCAAAACTGATATGAAAACTTGTCACACCGAAATCTCTAACCGTCAGTCAGAGATGTTAACAAAAGCCCAGAGATTAAAGGACCTCATTGACACTATGATATTTGATGTGAAAATTAGACACAAAACCCTTATTCATAGACTGCAACAACAGAAGAGAAAAATGAAGAGAAACCTTGCTAGCATAGAGAACTATGAAGACAGATCTGAACAGTCAGCAAACAGACCGATAATATTCCTCTTATTCTTAAAGAAAACCCGTGTCCCCAAGATAAAAGACACTCCTATTCTCACACAATACGCCCTGCTATATTTGACTAAAAGATTCAACACGAGGGATGTAATAATGTGTGTGAGTAATATCCAAACAATAGAGACAAGAAAAAGACAAATAAGAAATAATCGTTTGCTAAAACTGATGTCTACACCTGTGTTACACAGAACTGACACAGTGCCAAATGTTAATTATATAAGACACATTACCTGTGTGACGTCAAACTTGTTCTGGATCAGTGATTATAAGAATATCATATTGACAAACACAGCAGGTGATACACTACATTTTCTGGCTGATATAAAACAGTGGGGTTATGCGGTACATACAGTGAACATCACCGGTGATCTTATTTATATAGACAGGGATCATAACATTGATAAACTATCTAAAGATAACAAAAATATTTCTATCCTGATAAAGGAAAGAAGACCATGGAGACCAGACTGTGTCTACAGCTCCCCCTCCAGTGGAGACCTGCTGGTCGGGATGTGTAATACTGATACAAAGACAGCCAGGGTGAATAGATATAGCAATACAGGACATCACTTACAGAAAATACAACACAATAACAAAGGTCAAAATCTGTACAGTAGACCTCTGTACATCACAGAGAACTGCAATGGAGATGTTATTGTATCTGACTTAGACCATGGTGTAGTGGTGACACAGGGTGATGGGAGATATCGCTTCTCCTACATAGGATCCCCATACGGATCATTACTAGAACCACGTGGAATCTGTACAGATGCATTGTCACACATCCTGGTGTGTGACTTTAGGAGCCAATGGGTACACATTATTGACAAAGATGGCTACTTCCTTTCACTGATAGTGACACAACAGCATGGGATAGACAAACCATGGAGCCTGAGTTATGACAACAAAACACATCTTCTCTGGGTTGGATCGTGGGGCAATGACAGAGTGTGTGTTTACAGATACATAGAGAGGCAGAACTATTTGACAGAAAATTGTGAATAGTTAATTAGATACATGTACACAGAATTACACACAGGTGCATCTGACAGATCATTGTAATAAGTGAATACAAAATCACATGAAAAATATAATACATCCTAAATGCCTTTATTTCACAAATTAGATTGTTTATCTGTAATAATTAACTTTTCTGCTAGAAATACATTCCAACGTTCGTATATGTCCCTTGATTATATTTGTGAGTTTCTAGAATTTCAAGTTCTGAATCATACATATGAAGCTCAACGGTAATTCAAAACTGTGTCTATCAAAGCACAGAACAAATTCAAATTTGTAAAAAAAAAATTTCTGTCATTCAGGAGTGATCATCTAAAATGAATTTCCAATAAGTATAACATGTATAACACAATCACATTTAAAAGTGTCGATGTGTTTACTGAAAATTGGAGACTGCTTTGTAGAAAGGTTTACGAAGAAATACTATGCTAATTCTGCAACATCAGTCTCTGAAAATTACACGGCACCACAAATTGAAGTGAATTTTAAAAAGAACATAGGAATGAATCGATCCGAAATTGACAGAAAATACTGTGAAATTCACGACCATTTTGGTTATGATTCAGGCTACAGGGAGGTTGATTGATTGATTTTATGTTGTCTTACGTCCCTTTCGATAATTTTTCTCTCATAAAGAGACGTCACCATACACCGGTAAAGGCCTTGAAATTTAGACTTATAATTGGCACTCAGAGTCATTAAGTAGTGAATATGGGATCTCGGTTTTTAAAGAGCTGTGACTCTCATTTCTACTTCCGGATGCTTGGCGAAGGAACAGTCACTACCTTATGTTTACATCTTAGGTTTGATGCAGAGCTGGGAACAAGAATCGAACCCGGTACCTCTCTATCATGAAGCGAGCGACCAACCATTAGGCTACCCGTCCGGTTCCCCAGGGAGGGGATAAGTTGATCGTGTATTTAAAATGCAATTATTTTAGGGGATCCTCCTCTTAATTGCTGGACAAAAAATAGTTAAACTGGTGGTATGATTAAAATAAGCACTTAGCCTTCTAACAAAAGGCACCATGGTGGACAAGGTTAGTAATATTTTGAAATACGTTACACCTTTGAAAATATTCTTATGGACATACAGCGGATAAACTGTTTACATAATTACAAGGAACACTTTTTACTCGTACACATTATCACCTTCATCAAAACTTGAAAATTCAGCCGCCCAAAAATTAAAACTTAAAATCTCATTTTTTCCATAAAAAACACATTACATAACAAATGTTGATAATATTAAAAATAAAGAAATCATTTTCAATCACAATAAGATTACAGATCAGCATATAAATTATCACTATTTCTATTTTTTTGTGCAAATGCATAATTTTGAAATGTAAGACTGTAAGTACTGTAAAATTTTGTATTAGGTTTTCTTCATACATTTGCCCTCAAGCATACTATAGTATTAAATTGTTGAACATACAAAGGATATCATATTGTTAAATTTTGTTTATATAACTTTCAGTCTAAAACTCCAGAACTATAATTTCCTTGAAATTTTGACACGGAAAGGCTTCTTTTATTGCAATACTTTTTTCTGTCATCTCACACAAATAAGAAATATTGCCTTTATTTGATCAGTTGATAGAAATCACATAGTGGAGGATTTTTATTTCATTTTATAACAATACTGCAATTTATCTATTAAAATATTCCGTTTATTTTATTTTAATAAACGGAATATTTATAAAGTGAAGTCAAGGTGAAAATAAAAGATATTTTACACTGCAAAAAACATAAAATCCATGCACAACTATCACTCGTTCTTCCCTTCACAAAAAATTAATATAAATAGATAAATAAAATGTAATAAACAAAAAAATTAATGTTTTGTGGTTGAATATGGAATTTATTTTACTCTTGAGTGAGGATATTTTGTAATTTTCACTCTCGTGCTCCAAGCTTGTCAGTGATAAATTCTATGTTAAACTACAAATCATTGAATATTCTCTATATATTTCATTTCTTTACTGCCAAATTGTTATTCATAGTGCAATACAGGCCATTCATATCTAAATTCTGTAACATTCTTTCTTAAATTTGTTTAAATTTAGAGCTGTCAATTTTCCTCCAAACAACATCATGAGATTTAAAATAAAGCATGTTTTCCCACTTTGATTCATAAAATGGTCGATGGAATCTCTATTTTTAAGAGTAAAAGATGATAAAAACCGCTTTTCAGAGAATGTTACAGACATTTGTTAATTGCTTGAAAGCAAAGATATTCATAATATTTTATTTTTACATAACTAGGCGAGTAGTTTAGATTCTCATCGTAAGCACTGATTTTATGTGAATTATCTCTCTTTTTAAAATTATCAATTTAAAAACGCGTAATTACAGACATTCCAATTATTTGAAAATGTGTTGTCAGTTACATTGTTGTAATGATGACCAGAAAGTTTTCAACTCTTAAATCACTCTTTTTAATAAAACGTGTAGGATCGTTTTGGGCTAAAGATGTTCTTGTATCGTAGCCTATTATATACAGTTTTTGGGAGAAACATCTAAGGTTCTCTGTCGATCTAAAATAGTTGATAAATAGAGGATATTCAATGTCTTTTAGTGTTTTTAGTTGGATATGGAATTCATATCATGAATGAGCACAGGCTTTTTTGATATTTACATTAGTGCGAAACACGAGTAAAAATATCAAAGAATCCTGTCTCACAATTGGAATTGTTGTTTTTTCTGTTTCACTTCTGTGTGGGGCAAAGATTGAGCCAATTGCTTAAGTTTTAATGTAGGTAGTTGCCTGCATTTTCTTGATAACATCAACAAAAAGAAAGATGTCGGAATGGATTTGCATAAAAGTGAAAGTTTAATTTGGAATGAAATTTTTCAGGACCGTTGCTGGTGTGTTTTGTTGACATAAATGTATCAGGAGCTTCAAACCACATCGTTGGTGGAAAAGCCGATAATTCTGTGACATATCCTGCAAGAATGTAATCAGCAAACTGTATACATTTTTCATTTCCTGGGGCCAAAAAAAATCCATACAACTTAGCCTATAGATTTTGCTTAAGCCCAAAGACTGAATTTTTCTCCACCAATGGCATTGTGCATTAACATTATAAAATGATGTGCATTGAAGTGGTAAAAGTTTTCTTTTGAATAGACCTTTTGGGTGTTTCTTATCGAACATCAATTGTTACATAATGACACTCCCATATCTTTTGAATTGAGAAAGCAATATTCGTCGCAATAATTTAAGATACCCTACTCTATAAGAATAGCAACGTGAGTACTAACTGTCGTCGTAGATTTTGACAAAAGCGGTTACGCATCGAGTTCAACTGGCATTCAAAGGATTCTGTTTTGAAGGGAATATTTTGTGAAAGGCTACTTGTGATCAATGATAGTGAGCATATTGGTGTCAGGGAATTTTTGTATTCGTGAGAACCGATATTCGATGTTGAAAAGGCACAAGAAACACGTCCTATGTTTGATTATAAAAAGTTGGAGAAATTTCGGTCAGAAAGGTATGAATGGAGACACTAGTCCGAGCCAGTTAACTTGAAATCAAGCAAATTGATCAAAAACATTATATCTACAATTTCAGTAAGGCATATTTATTATGATGTAGGCACAGAGACACTGGCAACACACGGCCAGGAACACGTTAAGTTCCTTTACAGTACCGTTGTCAGAGACCTTTAAAGTTAAGCACTAAAATTGTTTCGTTGTCATGACCTCACAGGTGAGGTTAAGATGATATCCGTCCGGTGTCATAACTTCAGAGAACTAATAATTAGTTAAATTTGATTACAATCCCTCATATTGCAACGGGGAACAGAACTGACAATATATTTGTTGCTGCATCAATAACGTCAGATATTAACAGGTTATATTACAGTAGTTTGCGTTGGCGATACACCACCCTGCTAAAAACATATTTTGATTTGTTTAAATTTTCTTTGAAATGAACATATTTTCCTTTTATACAATAAACAATACCCAACACTAGGTACAGGTAATATTATGAGGTATTGTTAGCCCTTGAAATAAAAATCAAAGCAAAATAAAACTGAAAATTTTTGCTATAATTCAAATTATGTCCGTTGTCATGACAAGTCCGTTGTTATCGGTCCGTTGTCAGAATTGTACAGTATACAACATTGGTAAACTACTGTTTAATGCATTCTATTTATCAATTATATCTGAAAATAGAGGGAAAAGATGTTGGAAAGGAAAACCGGTCATACATGTATCATTTCGCCGAACGAATATGTAATTTGTCCGAACGAATTTCTAATAGATAGTTTTCATATGACGTATTTTCTTTCCGAGTTATTTCTGGCACTGATTCTTCTATAATTGTTTCTATGAGAAAATCTTAATGATTTAAATTAAATTCAAAGAACCAATCTCATTACGAAGCAAAAAATAATTGAATATATCAATGGGTGAACGATTTAATGACAAAGGAATTAAAGATTTACTGAGCTTCAAAGTTAAACTTTTAAGGGTGAACACCTTAGCAGCACAAAGCGTGTGCAGTGGTTAGAGCATTTCATTCTAGTGTGGAGGAGTAAGATCCTTACGTCACTGGTTCGACTTTCAACGCGGACGTCGCTAATCATAGTGTTCAGATGTTGGCACGAAATAAATTTTTTTCTGTTCTTTGTCCACAAGTGCCGAATACGGATCTAAAGCATCCCTCAATAGGCAGTCAGTAGTGTTCAAGGGACATGAAGCAAGCAAGCAGCCAACCAACAGACTTTGGCATCGTGTATAGCTGACAATATTTCACTTTATAACTCATAAAATTATCTTTATTTTTACGAATAGTAAAGTAAAACGCATACTATTCAGTATGTCTATTATGATTTTTTTTTAGTACTGCTAATTTGCACACCAAAATACCTAGTATAATTGGAATTAAAATTACTTTATTGATTTTTTTAAATTTCAAATTGTTGAATTTTGAGCTGCTTTCAGACAACCAACAAAATTCAAAATTATTACTAC